TCATCTACAGAAGTCCATCTATAGAAGGCAAACAAAACTGGTTACTCATTTTGAACACCTCATGATACAAATGAAAATGGGGCAAAATAAAACACACCCATTTATGAAGGAGCAAGCCTTGTTCTCTGGACATGTGGGGGTTGAGGCCATGACAGCCTTTAGAGCACAGGTGATGTACACCTACAGAACGACACCTGATCAGTAAAACAACTCCCAGAACTCACCCACAGAACTACAGCCCAAATTACAATACCAAGCCACTATCATCTTGCTGGAATCTGAAAGCCTCTAACTGAAACTGCAGCTTGTCACTCTGAATACGACGCATGAAGCTGGAAGTGGAGCCTGTAAGCTTTGCATCTACCAGGCACCTGAAGAGAATGCGTGGAGGGGAGCCTGTAAGCTTTGCGTCTACCAGGCACCTGAAGAGAATGCGTGGACAGGCAAAATACAAAATAAGTGAATACAATTTTAGGCTCCGTTTGCAACAGGGAAATTGAGCGGTTCTTTACTAACCCATGGTTCTCAATAAAGGAATATCTTGGAGAGGTGGTGTTCACACCAGGGGCCGCAGTAGCCACACAACCATCCACAAAGATGCGCAGAGGAACATGGTTGTATTGCTTCACAGAAGCTTCAAGCTTCAGGAATTGCCCTAGGAAGTACTGATTGGATGGCCTCTCAAACATCCAGTCATCTGAAATGAAAGTCACATTGGCAACACTACCTAGTCACTTATTGAAGCTATAACACTTAAATACATATTACCAGTCATGAGCCTCAAGGAGATCACCAGAACTTCCTCTGCAACTTTAGTTGCAGCAAAAGGAACCCAAGCGGGCAACAAGATATTGCTGCTTACATTATACAACCTATTGGGAGAAGTAAAAGAGGATTAAGTGTCAGTTTTGGTCAAACTTCTTAGACAAAGTAGTTTACTACCTTGAATACTGGCACTATTACAGCTGCACAGCCTCCTAAACAAAGGAGTTTACTACCTTGAATAGTGGCACTCAATTCCAACAGCTGCTACATCAGCCCTTACAATGGGAGTTCCTACTAAAGCCGCAGGAGTATAGAGGAGGTTGAATGTATACACAAGCTCATTATCAGTCATCTGAAAGCAGTATAAGTGGTTAATTATTGGACAGACCTAACTTTTACACAAATTCTACAGTAGACCTACATGCAGCCACTCACCACCAGAGAGCTGTCACTCAAAGCTCATACTCAAATACAAGAACTTCAGCTTCTGGATTCTCCTCT